GGCCCGCCCCCGCGCGCCCCACCTGCGGCCGACACCCGCACTGGAGCTGGACCAGCCCCAAGGCACTGGCGCCTCTGCTGGAGCCAGCCCCATATCAGCCTGCAGGAGATCTCTCCATTCCAGCCGTCCGGGGTCTTCACCTAACAGCCTAATGAAGCCCACCAACCCACCGTATTCCAGCATCCTCAGGTCCGGCAGTCCCAAGATCCTCATTCAAGCCATCGGGAGGACACCCATCCCCATCAGTCCCCAAGGGGCCCAGACAACCCTGAGACTTCCATACCCTAAGTCCAGCTAACACCAATCAATATCCCATTCCCCATCTCAGTTGGCCTCCTGTCTCAGCCCTGTGACACAGAATCCCTTGATCTCCCATCCCGCCAGTCCTTGGACCATTCCTCCATCTTTGTGTTCCTGTGTCCCTACATCCCTGTGATCCTACAGCCCAGCCAGTCTGTAGCTCCCCCATCCCAGGCAGCCCCCGGAAATTACACACACCCGAACAACTTCATAAGCATTCCCCACTCTAGCCAGCCTCTAAACTCTCCATCCAAGTCAATGCTCAGATTTCCTATTCTAACCAACCCTAGGATTTCCCATCTTAGCCAATCACAAGGTCCTTCAACCAAGGCAGCCCCAAGGTCTCCCATCCCAATGAGCCCTGGAACTCCCCCTCAGAGCCAGACTTGAGATCAAAACAGTTTCTTCAACCTTCATTTCTTGTTCTCCCATAGAAATGGCATCCCCATTCATTCTGTGAAATTGCAGCCATCCTTCAAGACTTGAATCAAATACCCAGCGAGGATATACTCTGCACTTGGAAGTCTTAGGCATGAGAATTTCCAGGAGTTGGAGATGAACCGGGGGCTATATGATGAGTTCCACACCATCCTGGGCTACAGCATTAGACTCTATCTCAAAAAAACAAAATAGCAACAATAGAGAGACTTAAGTTAGATGCCACCTTACTGATTTCCCCAGTGAGAAATGTGTACTTCTACAGAGATCCTGAAGAGACTGAAAAGGAAAGGCAAGCAGAAAGGTGCTGAGAAGGCTGTGACTAACCAGGGAGGAAACTCAGGGTCCATAGACTAGCTGGCTTTCTGATATGAGGTTCCAGACTGGTCTAAAGGCATGCAAAGTGCCTTCTATGCTTATGCAGCAGTTCTCTAGTTCAGTGTGCCACTGAATACTGGATTGCAGCTCCCACTGATCAGGCCACTGACTTGGTAGGAACAGCTACTGAATGAATGCTCCTAGGCTATCCTCCACAGGCTCTTGAGCAGAAAATGAAATCAATGAAAAATAAACATCACTTTCTTTTTAAATATTTATTTATTTGTATTTGTGTGATGTGGTATGTGTGTGTGTGTGTGTGTGTGTGAATGTATATCACATGTGTGCAGGTGCCCTCAGAGGCCATTGGATCCCCTAGAGCTAGAGTTACAGGTGATTGTGAGTTACCCGATATGGGTGCTATGAATCAAACTTGGGTCTTCTGGAAGAGCAGCAAGCACTCTGAACTGTTCCTAAGCATCTCTTCTTAAGCATACACGGTGAGATACCACTTAGGTAGGCTAGAGAGACAACAAACAGAGTATGTAGAACATGTTGGATGGTGTACTATGTTGAATAGTGTTCCTCCAAAGCCCATGCCCACCCAGAAACTGTGTGTAACCTTATTTCTGCAGGTGTAGTCAAGTTAAGGTCAAGTCCTGTGGGATTAGTGTATCCTAATCCAAAGACTAATGTTATAAGAAAGGGAAAACTCTGAGGGAACACAGCATACACAAGCCCTAAATTCAATCCCCAACACTGAAAACGAGGGAAAATTGAGCACAGGATCTCACACACACACGCACACACGCACGCACGCACGCGTGCGCACGCACGCAAGAGTGCAAGCCTTAGGAGAATCTCCTGTGATGACTGATGACTGACTGAGATAAGGAGCTGTGGTGGTCACTATTGATTGTCAACTTGACAGGATTTAGAATCACAGTGGAAACAAATCTCTGGGCATACTTATGAGGGATTATTTAGACTACATCAACCGAAGTGGAAAGACTCACCCTGAACGTGGGCGATACCATTCCACAGACTGGAGTCCTGGATTGTCTAAAAAGGAGAATGTTAGCATGCATCTCTCTCTGCTTATGGACTATTGATGTGACCAGCTGCTTCAAGCTTCTCCTGACTTAATTTCACTGCAAAGATGGACTGTACCCTCAAAACTGTGACCCAAAGTAAACTCTTTCTCTCTTAAGTTGCCTTTGTTAGGGTTTTGTTTTGTTTTGTTTTGTTTTGTTTTTTGTTTTTTTTGTTTTTTTTTTTTTTGGTCTTTTTGAGACAGAATCTTCCTGTAGCCCTCAGCTGACCTGGAACTTGCTTTGTAGACCAGGCTGGCCTTGAACTCACAGATATCCACTTGCCTCCCAAATGCTGGGAGTACAGGCATGCGCCACCATACCAAGCTCATTAGGGTATTTCATCACAGCACCGGAAAAAATAATGCCAAAAAAATTGGTGCCAAGAAGTGGGGTCATTGCTATGATAAACCTGACAAAATGATTCTTAGGCCGTTGGAACTGTTTGCACTAGAATGTGGAAGAGTTTGCTCTATCATATTGGAAGCAGTACTTAATGGGCATTCTGGTGGGCCCTTGGAAGACAAGAATGCCAAGAGGAATATGGACAGTGGAAGCCCATCTCATGAGGTTTCAGAGAAGAATAAGGAAATGTGGGCTAGGGATTCATGTGATATTTTGGCCAAGAATCTGGCTGTATTCTGCCTGTGTCCTAAGAACTTGAGTGAGATTTAATATAAAGGTAATGGACTAATTTGTTTGGTGAAGGACATTTCAAAATAGGATCACATTCAGGCTGTGGCATTGTTACTGTTTACTGTTCTGATCCAGGTCTACAATGAGAGAATGCAAAAAGTGAAGCAGAAATATATTAAACTTTTGTGTTTTGGCAAGGAAGAGTGTGAACAAGTTTAACCTTGCAGACAAGGCAGGTTTGAAAGTTAAGATTCTCACCTTTAAAGAAAAACTTGGCACTTTGCACTGAGACAATAAAAGAGGTTGTCCTGAGGGTAAAACCCCCTCAAAGGCTCCATCTTCTGAAGATACAAATTCATCAAGGAAGAAAATATAAACTGAAAGGGTTCTCTGCTCCTCAAAGGCAGATGCTAGAGAAATATTTCCCCAGGATCAGCACACCCAAGCTGAACAGCTGTGGTTCAAGGGGACCAGGTGATATTTTGAACTTATCAACAAAACTTGGCAGCGTCATCCATGTAGTACTGATTTTTCAGGCATGAAAGATGCAAGATTTAAGAGGTCATGGAGTCTTGCTCGTTGGTTTCAGAGAGCCTCTGAGGCCAGGCAGCGTGTGGGTGGGTTGGAGTCCTTGCAAGGAGGCACCAAGAGGCTGTTGCAAGAAACTGTGAAGGTGAAGCCAAAGTTTCAATGAAGACCCCACAGTACTGGAGGTACCAGAATCATGGGGCATCTGCTGAGGAAAGCTGCAGATATGGAGTAGAGTCAACTCAAGAGAGAGGCTATGTATGTTGCATGTGCCAAAGCTGGAGGAGCAGGGCTACCCAAGCCGCTTATTGTCCACCTGGAATTCCACATGCCAGATATAATAGCTGCAGGATTTGTTGCTTTCCCTATTGAGTTTTGGTCTTACTTTAATCCAGTTATTACTTGCTATGCCTATATTCTTCCCTTTTGGAATGGGAATGCTTATTCTGTCCAATTGTATGTTGGAAGTATGTAGCTTATTTTCTGATGTTATAGGAATTCACAGTTGCCTTGAGCCTCAGATGATATTTGGACTTTTAGGCAGTATTGGAATCATTCAATACTGTGAGAACTCTTAAAGTTTATTGGATGTATGAGATGCATGGCATTATGAGATGCCATGAGCTTTTGGAAACAAGAGGTAGAGGGGGTAGAGGGTAATGGCTTAAAAATTGATGTTTGGGTGTCAAGTTGATGAGGAGTGGAGTTGCAATGGTTAATATTGATTGTCAACTTGAGAGGATTTAGAATCAGTATGGAAACAAATCTAAGGGCATGTCTATGACGGATTATGGTTATCAGGTTAACTGAGGTGGGAAGAGAAGACCCAGCATAAATGTGGTCAGTGCCATTCCATAGGTTATGTTCCCAGACCAAATGAAAAGGAGAAAGCAAGGTGAGCACAGGCATCATTGTTCTCTGCTTCCTGACTGTGGGTGTAATGGGACCAGCCACCTCAAGGTCCTGCCACCATGACTTCTCACCATTATAGACTGTATCTCCTCCAACTTTAAGGTGAAATAAACCCTTCCTTCCTTAAGTTGATTAGGCCACGTATTTTGTTGCAGCAACCAGACAAGCAGCGTGGAAAGTAACAAATATGAGTGGAATAGCATGGGGCTGGAGACATAGCTCAGCAGTTAAGAACGCTGGTTGTTCTTGCAGAAGACCCAGGTTCAAATCCCAGCACCCACATGGCCACTAACGACTGTCCATAACTCCAGTTCCAGGGGATTCGACAGCTTCTTCTGTCTTCTGCGGGCATTGCAGCACACAGGTGCACTTACCTGCACACAGGCGATACACACATACACATAAAATAAAAATAATAAATATTTTTTTTAAAAAAAGAGTGGAATAGTGCCAAGCAACACCAAGGATTGCAGCAGCCATTAGAAGCTGGAAGAGGCAATAAAGGATTCTTCCCCAGAGCCTGCAGAGGAAGCATGGCCCTGGCAACACGTAGCCCACAAAACTGTGAAACAATCCATTTCTGCTTTTGTCCGCCACCCATTTTGTTACGGCAACCCGAAGAGGCTAATTCAGATGGTGATAGGCACTCTGGAGAAAGACAGAGCAGCAAAAGAAGATAGAGTACCCTGGGAGAATCATATATAGTGTGTGCCTTCAAGGCACTCCCAATCTAGTCTCAGAACCACAACCATAAGTCACAAGACAGATGTACAAAGCACCAGAGCTGGAGCACAAGAGAGATCTTTGTGTATATAAATGTTATTTGAGCTAAGTTTCAGGTTCCAGCAGGTGGAAGTGCCAGAGTTGAACAAGCCCTCAAGTGCTGTGGGAGGAGAGGAACAGACTCCAGAAAATGGCAAGTATTTAGGGAACCATGCATTGACAGGAGAAAAAGACATACATGTGCATATTTATGTGTGTGTATACATGAGTGTAAAGACAGCAGTTGGGAAAATATTGTTTGATCAGCTTGAGGATTCTATTGCAAAGCTAAAGAATCTTGACTTTCTCTTATAGGCAATGAAAAGTCATGGAAGTTTTTTGGCCACAGGAGTGACATGGTGGGGAGGGAATCCATATGGGTATTGTAGGCAACAAATATATCACACTACAAGATGACTTTAGTATTGGTTCATTATCGCTGTTCAAAAGAAACTGTGGTACTACCTTCCTTTTCTGCCTGCTGCCTCCCAGAGCCATTTCCCAGAAGCGTCAGGACCCAATGTGATTGCTCCAATTTTCCTTTGCCCTAGGGCCAGCTTTGCCAAGGAATGTGCACCAGATCAGGAAAGAGCCCCTCAAACCACTTCTCATCGTTTCCAGTATCCAGTCAATAAGAACGTGCCATGATGTTGAGCCATGAAACATTTTCCTTGGATGTTGGCATCCGTTCAAATTGGGTCTTGTCTACTAGATTCACACAGCTCTATTTATGCATAGACCTCCTCCTTTACCTATTAGCTGTCAAATACAAAATGGGAATGTCAAAATTAAAATCAGGATCTGGAAGTGTCCCTTGGTGATAGAGCACATTCTTAGCATGTGCAAGACACTGGGTTTGAACCCTAGTAATAAAACAAAATCGGCAGTCTTTCCCTCAGATAATTTAGACTCTAGATGAAGGCATTTTTGATGTGAGGATGCTGAGAGCCAGAGAAATTGTTTGAACCTAATTGCTGTGTTAGTTACCACTAGGCTACAGTTCTTTTCCTGCACTAGTTCTTGGGGTTTTCTCTCCCAAAGAAACTAGAGACAGCAGACTTTAGATGGCAGAAAGGTGCAAAAGTGACCATTTGTATGGAACACAGAAGGAAAGGAGGAAAAAAGAAGATGTTTTTCTCTTGGGTGTCCTTACAGAGATAGCGGTGCTTAAAACTAAGACAGCTCTTAGCTAATTAATTAACTATCCTGCCAGCCCCCTTCCCCCAAGTGGGGATGGGCTGATATGTAACCAAAGTACCTGTCAGCCTCTAACAGCTGCAGAGAGCAATCCTAATAGACTGGTGTGGAGTTTCGTTTTAGGAGAAATTTTCTCTCTGAAGATG